ATGTTACACATCCTAATACATTCTAATATTTTTTTGAGATATCATACGTTTGAAAACTTTAAAATCAAATTCTAGATATAACATTCTATAACATTCTAGTTTTAGTTTTCATATGTGCCTATAACTTTGAGTGCGGAATTTGATTTTACACACATAACAAAAATATACTTACCACACATACATTAGGAGATAGCCTTATATCATTCAAATACATAGTTGAGACATTTCAATTTTGTTACCAGACAAGTGCATATAGTTTAGAACCGCTGTGAAAATTGCAAACTTGTATGTATACACCACAGAACTACGCACTTTAAATTGTTAAGCAAAATATTTATAACTCTCTAGGAATTGTAATTACTAGACGACGATTTATAATATATGACAATAAATAAAAATATGTTGAAGTTAATGTTAAACTCAATTTATCAGTTCATCAACTTTATTTCCTGAATACTAGTCCCTTATGGTCGCCATTATATAATAGGACTCAGGAAATTCGATTGAATAACATTTATCACTGAGTTTATCAGCATATCACTTTTATTTCTTGGGTTCAAGCTAAGTATAGATACTTTAAGTCTAATGCAAAAATAATTACATATCATTTAAATATTAATAACATATATAATGATGTAAATTTAATAGAATATCTGAATTCACAGAATATACCATTGATAATGACAGCTATGTATTTGTGTTTTTTAAATACGAAATCTTTATAACTGAGTGACTATATATATTTGCTGAAATCTTTATTATAAAATGTAAACTAATTATTGTTTCAATATAACGTATGCGATATTTTACGATACATTATTAGTTATAAAGATTTTTGACAGGCGAGGGTTATATAGCAAACTACAGTTTATATACGGCCATATAACTTGTCAAAAATATTTATAACGAATATTTAATACTGCCAACTTCCCTTTAAGAGAAATTTAAGATTTCTTTATAAATTGACAGCAGACTATATAAAAGTCCTGATAATCCTATGAAAGCGACGCTACAAACGTGCAGAATTATAATGTGAAATATTAAGATAAGCTGGCACATCTCTGCCGTCTGATCAAGGTCTAAACTGTACGTTCAAACATCTTTTTAACCATTTGCAGGAGAACAACTTCCTTACTTCAGTTCAATCAGTATTTATACCAGGCGATTCAACAGTCAACCAATAAGTGTATATTTATGATACTCTTTGCAAAGCCCTTGATAACGGTCTAGAAGTACGAGTTATTTTCTTTGACATTAGTAAAGCTTTCGACAAGGTTTGACATAAGGGTTTACTTACTAAATTGAAACATGCTGGAATTTCTGGGAAGGTCTATACTTGGTTTCTCGAATATTTAAGAGATAGACAACAACTTGTTGTCCTTTCTAACTCTAAATCGTCTATTGGTTATCTTTCAGCTGGCGTTCCCCAAGGCTGAATTCTTGGTCCTCTTCTCTTTCTCATATTTATTAACGATATTGTTGAAGATATAGAATCTTGTATCAATTTATTCGCCGATGATACTAGTCTTTATCTTGTTGTTGAAAATCCACAAACAGCTGCTATCACATTACAGTCGGATATAGACAGAATTTCATTTTGGGCAGATACATGGCTTGTTTCATTTAATCCTTCTAAATCTGAGTCATTATTGGTCTCTAGAAAGAGATATTCAAATCAACATCCCGAACTTCTAATGAATAATCAGACTATTACAGAAGTTTCTGACCACAAACATCTTGGAGTTTTAATTTCAAATAACTGAACATGGCACTCACATATAGATTATATAACAAATAAAGCATGGAATAGGGTATATATTATGAGAAAACTTAAATTTCGCCTAGATAGAAAATCACTAGAGACAATCTACACTTCTTTCATTCGTTCATTACTTGAATATGCTGATGTTATATGGGGAAATGTTACAAATTTTTACAAATTTTGAATTAGACGAACTTAACAAAATCCAAAACGAATGTGCTCGTATTGTTTCCGGATGTACAAGACTTGTTTCACTCGAAAATCTTTCAAATGACATAAACTGGGAATCTCTCGAAGAAAGACGATATATCAATAGAATGATCCTACTTTTTAAAATTCAAAACGGACTAACTCAAGATTAGCTTTTCTCAATTCTCCCAACAACAACTAATGATAAGTACAACCTAAGAAATATTGACAATATTCCGGGAATATATGCAAGAACTACACTTTATTTTAACTCTTTTTTCCGACTGCAATAAGGGAATGGAATTATCTTCCACACGATATCCGTAACCTTCCAACTCTCACATCATTCAAACAAAATTTTAAGAAGAACATACTACACACGCCTAACTATTACTTTTCTGGTGAAAGAAAACTTTAAATTCTTCATACAAGACTTCTAACAAAGTGTAGTTCTCTAAACTACCATTTGTTTTTGAAAAATATAACTAAATCGCCTTTATGTCTTTGCGGCCAAATAGAAAATAACTTTTATTTCTTCTTCGAATGTACACAATTTGACACAGCTCGACAAAAGTTACTTCGAAATTTGAATAATGTTGACCCAGGCCTTTCTGACCAAACTAATGACATATTTTTTTCACACGTACACACTTACATGCGAGATACAAAAAGATTCATTTAACACCCAAACACTTAAACATTATATTCCTATACTTTATACCTCACTACCTTTTCACCTTTCTGTGTTCTTTTCAAATACTATTCTACTTTGTATAATAATATTAATATAAATGTTAATTCCATTAATATATTCATTCTAAATATATATTCATTCAAATATAGTCAATGGAACATATACTATGTTTCTTAAAGCATTTAAATACATATCAAATTCTGTGATTTCTTTTTTTATATAAATATAAACTCGTGATTTTTGTTTTTTATATTATATTCGTCTCAGATTATAAAATATGTAATTATTTAAGCGCCTATTATATGTCAATTACTCACTTAGGAGAAGAATTTCATAAGATATGTTGTCTTTCTTTCTAATCCTGTTTTTTAAGAATATTTGAATTGCTCTCTGTATATTGTAAATTGTAACATGTATATATATTCTGAGAAATAAATTTGTTTAAACTAAACTGTACGTTGGCTGTTCAGCCAGGACATAAATTGTAATTATCCTAAAAATTGAATAATGGTTTTGCCCAGATGGGAATGTCCAATTAAGATAACTGGTGATGTAAAAAATGTCAAAAGTGGACAATTCATTGGCACTTCAGTTTTAAAGTCACTTTAAGATCATTCAAACAGTGATTACATCATAAAAATGGCATTAGTTAGAAAAATATCAGGTTAAATATAAACGTAACAATAGACCAAACATGTTTTAACCTTGTTTCAAATCCTTATAAATTATATCTATCAAAGAAATTTTCTATCACAGACTGTTTTTTTTTTGTAACATGATATTCACCTATTCGCTTAACAATGTTATTAATGATACCGTTTGTCTTACCGATTATCAAGATCTTAATACAATGTCCTCGAGTCTGCAATGAATCACCTTTTTTCAGATATTTTGCTTTTAACAGGTTTTGAACAAAAGCGAATTCTCATTTGCCGAGCACTATATAACACTGCGGAAAAGCTTAGAACACCAAGACAAAACAAGCTGTATCTTCTATATCAAGTTAATCAAGAAATTTAAAATTGCAAAGTGATAAAAGAATCACTTTTGAGAAGAACAAGAAAGTACACGATATAGGGGATTTAATTTGGTGTTAGGTTCCACAAACCTTTATGCAAGTATAATATACATGTAAATAAATATTAAGCAATATGGAAATAATCATTGCCCTTGTTGTGATACTACACTTTTCAAATTCAACTTCTCATAAAAATAAGAAACCTTCTCTGACAATGCGTCAGTTTTATTTTACCATGAAATGTGTCATATAAAGTATCGGCGAAATTATTGTAAAAAGAGCATTTTATTAGAAAAGAAAAATTGAGTTACACGATAATAAATATCTAATCAAGTTTTATTAAAACTTTTGTTATGATACTGAAACCACTTTTAAAAATAACATGAATGAGCTAGCTAATCAGTCAAAGATATATATTTTTTACTTCATTTAGAATAGATAAGTGGTAGTGGAAGAGATATTAAAGGAATACTTAGTATCTTAAACTAGAGATGACCATTCACTTTCAAATTTAAATGGACATTGATAAATGTGATTGTTCTATAATTGTAACAAAAGCCGGTGCTTGGGTGTACGGTAAATTGCTCTTTCCAGCATCATCCATGAACAAACTTAATCAAACCGAGCCTGCAGCCTTATTAAATGTTGTCGTTTTGGACGTTCTTTAGGGATTCTATTTTTCTCTATTTGGTCAAAAATAAACATTTCTCCTTTTATATAATGATTTTAACTGGTTCTTTAAACGTTAGATGTGCATGTTGCCAAATGAATGACACATCCCAACAACAAGTATTAAAGAGATTGAAATACTGCGCGGATTATCAGTATTTGCGGCCAAAAATCATTTAAAACTATTTTAGATTGCTGAACTTTGGATCAAGTATGCCATATAATTTAGCTTTAACTTATGGATTCACTTTAACCGAGTCTGCAATTTTCATGTATTGTTGTTGTTATTTATGCCTCCGAGGGATCACCTTTTCCCAGATTTTTATACTTAATAACAGCAGTTGTCAAATGCCGTGTTTAAAAAGTTGCTCCTTACTTCACTTCAGTTTTGATGTTTTTTCTGGTCCTACGAGATCATTGATTCCGGCACTTTTAAGTTTTGAAAATTGAGTACCGCTCAAGCCGGCGCTAAGGGGCGCTTGGAATGTTTTTTTTTTATTTTTTACATATATTCTAGTCGAAATTGGTCCCTTTAAATATGTGTCATAGAAAATGTTTGACACTGCAGACAAATAATGAAACAAAATATATCCTGTGTAACATAACTTTGTAGTGGATGATGTGTAAATCAATATCAGGATTATTTTGGAATGAAAAATGAAAAGCTGTAAAAAGTAACAATTTATTTTTTAAATATATTATATTAAACGAGATAATTCTTAGTTTATGGAAATCTAAAAACAGATTCAATTGTAACAAGCACGACTCTTGCATGCCTTCATTAAAATACTTTTATCAAAGACATCAAGATATAAAAGGCCATCAATAGTTCATTCTTTCCGTTGTTACATCCAATTATTGTGACTAAATTGAAAGTCCATGCTACTCACAGCGTTAAAATCTTGTTTGTCCATTAAATTATATATAAATACAACATACAAACATTTATTTCAATGGAATCTGTCCGGGTATTAATTTTTCATTGGTTTTAACGTGCTTGTACATCATTAGTATTTTGCTTCACAATCATTTCCTTGATATTATTTTCAGTGATATGACTGTTTGTGTTCATGGAATGTTTATGTTCATTTACTACAGGTGGCAGCAGTGTGAAAACTTCACAACTCATTTCTACAATACATGACACTCCAATTATATCTTGAAACTAATGCATCACATGTTTGAATGTCTACTATTACTTTTTCATTAGACTAATTCTTAATTCATATCTGCCAGTAAGTGAAGTATAAAGATGTGTTTTAAGGAAATAATCTGTTGGAATAACCAATTGATCATTCAAAACAATAGCTTGGCATTGTTTCGCTGCCAAATATTGAATTGTAGTTCACATTTTCATCCCAACGTTTTCTTATATATCTGCTGCTAGCTCGTTTTCGTTGGAATATAATACCGTTCACATATTCTCTATCTTTCTTTGCGTAACTTCTTTTATTTATAACCCAAACTTTGCATTGTGGATCTACTTTTATACCATTGCTATAGCGACAACAGGTGGCACATTTTTCACCATCATACAGATCGTCACCCCAGAATTCAATACAGTTTGCACATTCATAAAGGCAATATTTAAACCCAGCAGCTACTGCGCCGTCGTTGAATTTTATTATACAGCTGATGGAGATGCACACTGCAATAACACACCACGTTTTCGCCATTCTGAAAATAATTAAGTTATAAATATAATCAATTAAAACGTGACTAGAATACAAATACATCAATAGTGTTTGACCGCCTAAAATGTTTCCAAAGAAAAAAGTAACTAATGATGGAATACAAGAAAGCTCCTCTCCATTTGTACAACATTTGATTTAAACATGGAAAGCAAAGCTGAGGAACAGTAATTTCTAAATTGAATCATTAAATACTGTTCTAAAACAAATGTATGTCTTGTGTTATAAAAATGACAATGTGGCCTTCTGAAAAGCATAAGCAATATCCAAAGAGCAAGTATCACTTCGCTTAAAAGCTATTTATAATGTAACAAATGTATTTTTCAAAGCAAACACTTAGGAACTTAATTCAATTTTAAGAAAAAACGGTTCGAGACTTGAACAGACAAAAGTGTTTCTAAGTATCCATATATAACTTAAATTGGATATCTAAACTTGTCTGATATTAGAATTGTATATTGATGATTCAATTATTTAGTTCTTTTTAGTTCTATTGACTAGGCTTTTTAGACTTCTAAAATGAATACTCTCGAAGCACGAAATATTGTTCTTTTCTTTGCAATGGAAAGAATAACTATATTGGAATTTTGATTCCTTTCCCGTTTTAGTCTATTGTCTTCAAAGTGTATGAAAATTAAAGTTTTTTTCCGAAGCAGTTGACTATCTTTATAAAAGCGATTTTCTAAATTTTGTGTCCGCTGACGAGTAATATAAGCTGCAAGAAAATGCTTCATATAATTTATGTCCAAAAAAACACAGAAAGCGAAATAGTTCTCTGGTCTGTGACTCTATCAAATAAATAATTTTATAATCTAACTTTACTTGTATTTCTTAAATCCTTTTGGCCTTTTAGTACACGGCAAATGTTGTTGTTGTTTTTATTTGAACCTCTTTTATATTCATATTGCAAGCATAATTCTTTTATTTAAAATGAACCTAAAAAATCCCTCTCTTTTCAATGTAAAATGAATGAATTTCTTTTTTTAAATAGAACCTAACTTTAATCGAAAAGCGTATATGTGTCAAAAAAAGAGTTCTTTACTTTAATGACAGTTTAAAAAGTTGGAATCACAAAGTCTCTCTTTAAGCGGAAAATAAGCAAATAATACATGAATATATTGCTTGGCGATTTATTAGAACAATACAACTTTAATAGAAATTATCCTGTAAGACAAAATGGAGAAATTTTAACAAGTTTAAAATGACAAAATCGTTTGACATTTCAATACTTCAATGCCAATTTAAAATGACTTCAAAGCTGAGTGTATTCAGCTGAAATAGCGTACCTATGGTAACTATGCAAAGTTTGCTTGAACGACTGACGAGAAGAGGCTTTGCTACGTCGAATAGATACACTAGGCTTTATAGTGAAAACCATTTTAGCAGGAACTTTTTTTATTTATTTTTTATTTCTGGCACATAAATAGGGAGCTTAAACACTTAACTTTTGTACCTAAACACATTTATATTTAAAGCGCTTTTAAATTTGTTGACCCTGCAAAAAGAATTGCTTTACCAGTTTATTTATCATACTCAATATACGAGAATAAATATTTTAGAGAGTAAGTCCGGTTATTTCTGGATCATCCCTCGTATATTTGCGCAGCAAATCAAATTTGACCATCGTGATTACAAAATCGACATATTATATTATAAATGTAAGTGCAACGATCTACAATTAAAGGGAAAAACTTTTTTTCCTTTTATAATTTTGTTTTCATTCTAAACTTGATAAAATAGTTTTATTTGGAAAGCTGTCGGAGTGCCTTTCTTATATTAAAATATTGCTGGATCCACAACTTTATTGACCTTATTATTTATTTCTTTTCTCTTTTTTTAATTATTATTTCATTTATTAATTTATTTTATCATATCTCAATATTAGATTTGAATCTAATCCCTATTTGATTATTCTTTTTGTCAATAACATTTAACCTATATCTATCAACATTTTCTTAGTTATTTAAATTTTCAATATACATTATATTTTTTAAATTCATTTTCAAATTGTAAATTATGGGCTTATGAATATTACAATTTCTTTCATAAACTATAATTGTAACCATTAATTTTTCACTCATAAAGTTAAAACAAATGAAACAAATAATCAGCATTTTCGCCAATAGTTTCGTGTACATATAAATCTGAATTGAAATAACAATCTAATCATTGAATTATATAATTATCAAAATAGACCATATGATAGGGAGAACAAATTATCATCTTAAAATCGATATGTTTGTAAAAGAAAATTAAAAAATCAGGTTATATTAAAGAAAGTAAAAACATCTTTAAATTGGCAGCAGAAAATAATTAAATTGAAAAAACAGTTGTAAAAAAGAGAGATGTCGAAACCATGCTTACTTGATATTTACAAATTCCGTCCTAACACTAAAACTGTTTAAACAAGTTACGGAGCGGTATTCTTCCAACTGAAGTCTGATCTGTAATATTACATCTTTTTATTCATCAACTTCTCCCACCTGAATTGTTTTTATTGTACGAGGATTGGAATAATTGGAAACTTTTTGTTGACAACGTGTATCTACTCTTGTCGAACCTAGTCGCTCACTTGAAATGCCACGTTGTAGTATTAGTTATCGGAAAATTGAAATGGGCGCATATTCACTGAGAATTGGGTAACGTTGAGTCCCAGTGCAACATTTTAAAATCATTTGTTGTGCTTGATATGTGACTGAGTGAGGTTGAGTGTTAATTTATGAAAACATGACAATACATGTATTTCATCTCTATTTATAAACAGAAAATATGACAATAATAATGTCTAAACACCTGTTCTGTAAACGTTTTTGTTTTTCTCTCAATATCTTTCTGTTATTTATGTAACAATTTATACTTTGCCCTTTGTGATGACAAAGGTATTGTAGTTACTTAACACCCTTTTGCTTGCAATGTTTGTTTGTTTGTTTGGGTTTTACGTCACACCGATACATTATAGGTCATATCGCGACGTTCCAGCTTTAATGGTGTAGGGAGACCTCAGGTGCCCTTCCGTGCTGCATTATTTCAGGCACGAATGGGTACCTGAGTAGAACCACCGACGTTCCGTAAGCTAGCTGGATAGCTTCTTCACATATGATGGCATAAGGCCAAGATAATGATGATCCATCCTGAATCTATGGACTTACACTAATCTTAATCTATCCCAGTAATATTCAACCTCTTGAGGGGACGTAAACACGACGATGATGATGAAACATTAATCTTAAATAAAATGTAAAAAGAAAGTTTAAATAGATATTATCACCATCATTGATACTTGATAAGCTCAATGAGAAATGTAGACTGACTGACATTGGTGAAACGAAATTTTATTCATTGTGTTTACTGAAAAGTGCAACATAAATAAGTGGTATTTAGTCAGTTATATATAGTAATTACAATTTTTATTAGGTTAAGATCTACTTACTTTCATTTTCATTTTATTTTTCATATTTATGTGAAGAGGAAAATTCTTTAGTTTCTTTACAATATATATCAAGTGAAGTATGTCAAGTTCCATTAAAAAACTATTTACTACAGGGCCTGGGTGGATGTACATCATCCTGATATTGATTAATTAATAGATTAGTTTATTTTTATATCTTTAAATGACTTTTACGATTCATATTGTCCAAATAACTGATGTTAAGAAAACCGGAAATTGTTACCAATAATTTTCTGACCTATCATAGTTACATGTATTTCTTAATCAGACAAAGAAAAGGTCAGTGCGGCAGGTATTACAAAGGTTTATTTTGTCATATTTATTCTTTATTTGTTCTTCACAAATAGCCATGCTTGACACGATAATAGAAGTTTAATGTATATGGTTCACTGTTGTCTTATGTGTCTAAGTTTGACCTTTTGCTATAAGATATACTGATGCTTTTCTCTTTACTTATAAAATAGTCACTGAAATACATTTATGACTAAAGCTTTCTTATAATGAACATAATTTATTATCGTGAAAAATTATATTAGAATGAATGCCTAAATATGATTTATCTTCAACTTATACAAAAACGGAAATCATTATAGTATGTTGTATACAAGCGAGGTTTTTCAGATGTATCATTAAATCATTTGGGAAATCTTACAGGTTCAAGTAAAAGGTACGATTTTTCTACAACAAAGAGACAGACAATGTATATTGTGATGACCAGTATATTGACTGGTTAACGTCTGGTCTAATTGACGTTAAACATCAACTTCCATATTTATTTTAATTGTTTAAAGATCATATAACACAATTTTTATGGTTTTATAACTTAAATATGATGCTAAAATTAATATTTATCAATTTTGTAAGTTCTAAAAAGCATTATATATAAAGATATTCCCGAAATTAACATTTCATGTAAATAAAGGGAGGTAATAAAAAATTACTTTCTATAAAGTCTAAGTCAAGTATAATATGTACAAATATTTGCAATACATATTTTACATATTCTTCCATGTTTGAAAATTGTTTTATAAGCATAATTATATACAAATATATAATTTCACTTAAGTGTGGTATACAACCTCAATTACAACATATAGGATCTTTAACAGCTTCTCAGATTCATTACTTGCAAAGGTGTTCGATAAACTATTCGGTTGTTTTGACATTCATCAGATTTGTATACTGTATAATACCGTAATTAATATATTATTAGGAAAGTGCTTAGATTGTAGATTATATGCAACAAAAAGTGATGCTGCTATCTTTATAACAACCTGCAACATTATTTATTATAACCCCTCACTATGTTTCCCACAGGCGTGTACTATGTGACTAAAAATTTAGTTCTTTTACATAATACCTCTGGTAACTGTTTTTTATGCCACAGCAGTATCTGCGATGCGGTGGCATATAGCGATTCACCTGTGTGTGTGTTTGTGTGTGTTTTTGTGTGTGTTATATAGATTATATAGTGAATTTAAAAAAATCTTCTTGTGAAAAACCACTAGTCCAATTTCAACCAAACTTGGCAGGCTTGTTCCTTGGGTGAAGGACTTCTAAAGTTGTTCAAAAAAATTCATTCCATGCAGAATTCTGGTTGCTATGGCAACCAAAAGGAATTATAAGAATAAATTAAAAAAATCTTCTTGTAAAGACCCAAAAGGCCTAGAGCTTAGATATTTTGCATAGGGCATTGTCTCGTAGACCTCTAACAAGATTGTTCAAATTATAGCCCTGGGGTCAAAATTGGCCCCGCCCCGGGGTCATTGATTTTTACTATATGTGCATATAGTAAAAATTTAAAACACCTTCTTGTAAAGACCCAAAAGGCATAGAGCTTAGATATTTTGCATAAGGCATTGTCTGGTAGACCTCTACCCAGATTGTTCAAATTATAGCTCTGGGGTCAAAATCGGCCCCACCCCGGGGGTCATTGGTTTTCCTTATATGTATATAGTAAAAACTTATAGTAAAAACTTTAAAAAAATTCTTCTAGCAATTGACAAATGCTAGAGGTTAGATATTAGATATTTTGCATGAAACGTTGTGTAGTAAACCTCTAGCAAGATTGTTCAAATTATAGCCCTGGGGTCAAATTGCCCCGCCCTGGGGGTCATTGATTTCAATATATACATATAGTAAAAAATCAAAAAATCTTTTTGTCTGAATGACAAGGCTTAGAGCTTTAATATTTGTTAAATAATATCATCTAAAGGAAATCTACCAAAGTTGTTCAAATTTTGCGTTTTGCTATAAAATTAGCCCCGCCCCCGGGGGCCATTGGTTTTCCTTATATGTATATAGTAAAAACTTATAGTAAGAACTTTAAAAAAAATTCTTCTAGCAATTGACAAATGCTAGAGGTTAGATATTAGATATTTTGCATGAAACGTTGTGTAGTAAACCTCTAGCAAGATTGTTCAAATTATAGCCCTGGGGTCAAATTGCCCCCGCCCTGGGGGTCATTGATTTCAATATATACATATAGTAAAAAATCAAAAAATCTTTTTGTCTGAATGACAAGGCTTAGAGCTTTAATATTTGTTAAATAATATCATTTAAAGGTAATCTACCAAAGTTGTTCAAATTTTGCGTTTTGTTATAAAATTAGCCCCGCCCCCGGGGGCCATAGGTTTTCCTTATATGTATATGGTAAAAACTTAAAAAATCATCTTCTCTAAATTTACAAAGGCTAGAGTTAAGATATTTTGCATGAAACATTGTGTAGTGAACCTCTAGCAAGATTGTTCAAATAATAGCCCTAGGGTCAAAATTGGTTCTGTCCCGGGGGTCATTGATTTTCATTATGTACATAATTTATAGTAAAAAACAAAAATATTTTTGTGTGAAGGTACAAGGCATAGTGAAGGTACAAGGCATAGATCTTTGATGTTTGATATATAATATCATTTATAGGTCCTCTACCAAAGTTGTTCAAATTTTTCCCCTGGTGTCAAAATTGGCCCTGCCCAGGGGCAATGGTTCTCATTATGTACACATAGTAAAAACAGAAAATAAAACAAATGTTTTCTGAATGGGAGAAAGCTATAGCTTAGATATTTGACTTGAAATTTTGTTTGGTGGACCTGTATCAAGATTGTTTTGAATTAAACCCTTGGGTCACAATTATGCCTTGCACGAGGGAACAATGACCTACTTTCTTGTCCTTTGATGTACAGCAATGACATTTTGACCATGTGCACAGTTTTAGTTGTAAAATTGAACTTTGATATCAGGTGACCTAGATTTTGATGATGTGACCTACTTTCTTTTCCATGAACAGCTATGAAATTTGAACCATGCGGTGGCATAGCATTTTTCTCAAATGCAATCTTGTTTCAAACTCGGAATGATATTTTTACTGATACTCACAAATCTATGTGTAGGTTATTTTATATTTTTCCAACATTAACATTGCTTGAAAGAGAATTTAATGAAAATTCATAATTCATCTTAAGACGTAAAATAAAAGCTTTGAACGTTTTCGAGTACATTGTAAAGATAAAAAAAAATATTTTATCAAGTACTGTTCCTTAAATGATTTTGAAAGCAAATATTTTCTTATAATCAATGACATTTAGAGCAATGTATTCCTTTTCCAAGAACAGAGGTTTTTTCCTGTATAAAGTTTTATAAAATGAAGGCTATCCTCAAATCTTATATTTGAGAGAATATGTATTTTTTCATTAAATTGCTAAAATGCATTTATTAATAAAACAACAACAAACACACACTTTACTATTGGGTTTGTGTATGTATGTTAGGTAGTCTATCTTCTTTCAGTCTGTCGTATTTGCGTGCAAACTATGTCTTGATAAGAAGGGAAGTTAATGTTATCGACGAATTTTAAACTATGATTATAGGATTATACATAATAGATAGTTAAGTTGATCTAAACGCGGACAACAATAACGCTGCAGTCAAAAATAATTATTTTACAATTAATTCTGATGATAAATTTTACGAATTTTGTATTTAAACTCAAAGCAAGAATTTCTTCTTTTTTTTTCTTTTACAAAACGACAGAAATGTTAAAAATCCATGAAAACTAGTTTAATGTTTTCCGTCTGATACAACTTATAAAATGTAAAGAAATGTTAAAATATACACAGACAATATCCTGTTCTTAAAATATACACAGATGATTTCCCCTGGCAAAAACTGCTATTGAACTGCTTCTAACA